GCCTGTGCATATGTCATTAGAGAGACGTCACCGTGGCTATAATTACTTCACTGACAAACATATTTCTTTGCATACAATTCTCTTGTTAGGAAGTCATTGTGATGTCATTTAATTAAAATTATATACCCATAAACAGGCATTAAAAAGTCATACCCACAAACAGCTACAAAAAAAAACATACTCATAAAAAAGCCATACCCACAGCCACAAAAAGCCCCACCCACAAGCAGCCACAAAAGCCACACCCACAAGCAGCCACAAAAACAGCCACACCCTGCAAACAGTTGTTGATGAAAGAAATGTTGCACTGGGCCAGCCTTCCGCTGGTTCATGCTATTGACTTAATTGAAGGTTGCTGGCACACTGCAACAGCTCAATACGATGATGCGTGGATGGCCAGTGTGTGTGTGTGAGGTGTGTATGGGTTCATCTAATTGTACTCATCTGGTTGGGCTTGAGGGCTGGTTGAATTTTGGCTCTTCGGTCCCGCCTCTCAACCGTCAATCAATTAGGGCTACGACCTCCAAGAGCTGCCCACTCAGCTACGAGGCCCCGTTATGTGAGAGGCCTCTCTCTCTCTCTCTCTCTCTCTCTCTCTCTCTCTCTCTCTCTCTCTCTCTCTCTCTCTCTCTCTCTCTCTCTCTCTCTCTCTCTCTCTCTCTCTCTCTCTCTCTCTCTCTCTCTCCTCTCTCTCTCTCTCTCTCTCTCTCTCTCTCTCTCTCTCTCTCTCTCTCTCTCTCTCTCTCTCTCTCTCTCTCTCTCTCTCTCTCTCTCTCTCTCTCTCTCTCCCTTGTGCCAGAGCCTTCATACTCTTTTGGTTCCCTCTTAAGTTTGTCCTTCTCATGGATCGCCTCCGCCACGTCCTCAGAGCGACAGCTTCTTTCAGTTCTTGGTGGCGGGGTTGAGCTCAGAGCTCTCCGGTTGATGGACACAGCAGGTCTCAGATTAAACTCTCATCAGCCCTGAGGAAGAGACAGGGGTTCGACAAGCCTCAGAGAGGGGAGATGGGCTCGCTTACCCTATGGCAGGGGAGAAAGGAATTCCTCAGTCGGGACTCAGCCTTAAGGGGGAGTGAATAGTCCACCAAGCCTAAAAGAGGGGAAGTAAAGAGTAGATTCTGAGGAGAGGGCAAAGGGAAGGGAAGGGGAGTTTGCCAGTCTTAGGGAAGGTAAGAGAGAGATTTGAAAGCTAAGAGTAACGAGATGCCTCTGAATTTCCTTGACTTTCATGGAAGCTCGTGGCCTAGCGGCTAGAGCAGAGTGTGTAGCGTCCCTGCATACACACCTAGTGCTCAGGAAATACAACGTAATTAGCAGAAAATACTAAGCCAGTATGACTACATAGCACTTGCAAGGGATATGGGGACGAGTGAAGGAACTCTGTCCAACCATTTGTATCATCGGGAATTGAACGCCGACCCTCTAAGATGGGGGAAAGGACGTTGTTCTACTGAATAGTCTTAAGTTTTTTCTACCACAGACGTGGCTACACATTTACAATGCTAAGCAGCATATATACATTTTCTTCTGTCCTCCATGGACAGGGTTAGAGATCTGTTAAACATATAGTTCAGTTTTGTATTAAACAATCAACCACAGAAGGTGATTGCAGTGCTTATAAAAGGCTAATCTAACTTACATACATAAATACACAGATTTACGACTGCCCTACATAAACAGTGTTCGATGGGTCTTTTTTTCATGATGTCATTAATGTACGTTTACAAAGGAGAAATGCAATTCTGACCAGCTTCCACATGTCCTGTATACACATACACACATACATACATACATACATACATACATACATACATACATACATACATACATACATACATACATACATACATACATACACACATACAACATATACATATATACACATATACATACATATACACATACATACACACATACACATACATTTATGTCTCTCCTTCTTTGACAGGGTAAGGTAGCTGCTATATAAACTAGTGAGTTTTTAAGCACCTAACTACTGAAGGTGATTCGGGTGCTTTTACAAGCTCAGGTTATAGTTACATCACAAACATTGTATAACTGATGCATTGCATAGTCAATCTTGGGTACAAGTCCAATATACCATCAAGTGTTCCAGTATTCACGAAGTATTTACAGAGTTCAGCATACGTCAGCCCAGGAGGGCGAAAGTCAGTCAATATGGGACATTCTACAATATAATGTTCAAGGGAATGCAATTTTTCTCTTTCACAAAGTTGACACATGGTGTACTCGACATTTGGGTTTTGAGAGAGCTGCCAGATACGTCTATATCCATTGGTAAGGTACGAGCTGGATATTCTTTCCTGGTCGTGAAGATGGAAAGACATTTCTAAATATAAGCTACTTGTTAATAGTGTGTTGAGCATGTTTGATATGTATTGCTTCATCTATATCTAATCTTCTATTGTCGTTGCATCCACCACCTTGAATTATATGCAAAGGACACTGTCCCTAGTTCACTACCGCCTGTCTGTCAGATTTTTTGGTACAGTGGAAATTCATTGGCTACATTCCAACTTTATTGTAGTTCTCCTGTTTTCAGTGTCATGTTATATACATCACAGTGTGTGTATGTGTATACTCACCTGTTTGTGCAGGCAGGATCGAGCATTAGCTCTTGGACCCGGCCTTCCTAGCCTATTTACATCGCCTTGCACTTGCTGGTGTTGAACTCTTGTAACCCCCCTCTCGGATCTACTTTTCGATTTGTTTAAGTCATCTTAGAGAGTCTTATAATCCTCGAATGACACAACTTTTCTCATTAGTTTTACATCGTCTGCAAACATCAACATATGAGATTCAACTCCCGTGGATATGCGTGTGTGAGTGTGTGTGTACGTGTGTGCATGGTAAGTGAGTGTGTTTGTGTATTTGCGTGTGTGTGTGTGTGTGAATGTTTGTATGTGTGTGTGTGTGTGAATGTTTGTATGTGTGCGTTCATGTGATCTTCTCCCTCGGGGCTGAAGGTGGCCTATGTCTAGTCATTGTATAAAGATTCTCTCCCGAGCCCCTTTTGTCTTTTTAGCTTCTTTGTTCTCCTTTCTCTGTCAATCCTCTAAGCGGTGTAATTACAGTGTTTGAATGGAATTACGCGCGCGGCTCTTTTGTTTTTCCTTCTCGCCTCAAGATTTTCTTTTATGTCCTTCTGTTTACTGTTGAAACAATTGAAATTGTAAACTTCTTCGGGTTCCGTAACTTATATATTTCCATTTTCTTAAGAGCTTTCGTTTCTCAAGTCGAATGTAACTTCTGCTTTTGAGAAATACATGTAAAAAAAAATTTTGCTTCGCTGCACCGTGTTCCAACGTGCAAAGTACTGTGAAAATACTGGAAGGCAGCGGCCCCTGGTGCTCAGCGCAGGCGCGCACCGTGAAGCCAACCCAAACACAGAATGAGTTTAACAAACGACCAACACAAAAGGGACAAACACGTATCGGTTACACTGGCCGGTGGAGAGCGCGAAACGCACTCAAGATTAAACAGTGGCATTGTTAAACGAGTCCAGTACAACCCAGCCCGGGAGATGGATGCCACCTCCCACCACCACTATCACCTGTATAATTCTGGTATTTCTCAAGGATTCTCATCTAAATGACCTCAATGGAGAGAGGGAAGGGGAGGGGGGGTGAAGTTGGGTGTAATTTTGTGTGAGTGGAGGGGAGAGGTGCCAGGTGTGGCGATGATATCTCTCTTCAACCTGTTCTCGAGTAATACATTGCATTTTGACGTCAAAATCCCCCATCGGATAAAATATGATGTATTTATAAATCATAGCGGCTCGTAAACATTCATGTTTTTTTATGTGTGGATCGCTCTGTTAGGTTAGGTTCTAGTGTTTAAGTACGACATTTTCTGTCCGATGTTGCAACTCGAGAGGACAGGTTGCTCAGCACAACCTCTAATCAACCTAGCTAACACTCAACCCAATTTTCACTCAGCCCAACCTCCACTCAACTCGGCCTCCACTCAATCAAGCTTCTAATCAACCCTGCCTTCACTCAATCCAGCCTGCATTCAACCCAGCCTTCATTTAACCCAAACTCCACTCAACCCAAACCTTCCCTGAATTCTCCCTCCACTCAGGTCCACACATCTCAGTCTACTCAATTCAACGTCCACTCCACTCAATTTCCACTCATCTTAGCCTCCACTCCAGTCTTGCGTTCATATTACCAGTTGGTGCCTTATCTCTGCCTATTTCTAATCAACAACTATATATTTCAATGAACTATAACCTGAGAAAATGTTGCGACAATGGGATAGGATTGAGCTGGCATCTCTGGCCTCCCCAGACACACACATACGTCCTTCCCACCGTGATGTTAAAAGTATATAACTACCAGAAGTTGTACAGGGACTTACTTGCAGTTTGGAAAGCAGCAGTTGGTATTCATAATGCAAACTTTGAAGTAGTTCTGGTAAGAGCTTCGGGTTGGGGTGTGTTTAGTCCATCATGGTGCAGTGGGTAGTGCGTGTGCTTGGGGGACCTAAAGGGAGCTCAATGTTATTTCATTACCTTAATATAGTATCATTGATACATCATGTTACTATGATTTTATTTTGTAGCTATTACTTAATTTATCTACTTTTTAATAATACTGATACAATTAATATAAATAATAATAATAATAATAACAATAATAATAATAATAATAATAATAATAATAATACGTAATTGTAATGTCTTCTCAGAGACATAATAACATGATAAAAAACCACCCATATATATATATATATATATATATATATATATATATATATATATATATATATATATATATATATATATATCAAACACACACACACACATATATATATATATATATATATATATATATATATATATATATATATATATATATATATATATATATATATATATATATATATATATATATAAGATTTCCTTTATATGAAACTTGTATTGAGCAAGTTGCCGCCCTGGTCTACTGTTGAACTAACATTTTTCCTTGCTTGCAGCGCCCAAGACGGACTACGGCGGCTTCGGCGGTGGGACGGGGCGCACCAATTTCACCACCAAGCAGCTAACGGAGTTGGAGAAGGAGTTCCACTTCAATAAGTACCTCACCCGGGCAAGACGCATCGAGATAGCTTCGGCGCTCCAGCTCAACGAGACCCAAGTTAAAATATGGTTCCAGAACCGCCGAATGAAGCAGAAAAAAAGAATGAAAGAGGGCCTCATAGCGCCGGAACCCCCCACCGTCTCAACGCCAAGCGAAAACAGTAACGATTCCGACTCTACGGCCAACAACAGCAGCAGTACAGGAGGCAGCTCCGGCGGCAGTAGCGGCAGCAGCGGCGGCAGCATTACCACAAAGCCAGAGTCGCCAGGATCTGTGAGCTGCAGCAGCAGCAGCACCTCTCAGCCCCTGCAAGTCCCCACCTCTGCCACCAAGTCCAAGGCGCAAGCGTTACCCGCCACCACACAAAGCCCCTCGTAAGGGCATGGCCTGGGCCTCAGTGCCCTCCAGAGCTTTAACCTGAGCCCTGGCCGCGAGCGGTGGCAGGCTAGGGCGGTGCCCAGGGCAGCAGGCATGGCGGCCACCCAGCGCGGCTCTGGTACCGGGTTTGACAAACGTTCCCAGGGTTCCTCTTATCACGCCTGGCACTCACGTTGTCAGGCTTGAGGTAGCCCTTCCCCCTAACCCTCGTCTCTCCTAGCGACCGACGATGCTCGTGCCTAAAGTCTGCGCCCACTCAACATGTCTGCATGACACCCTCCTCCTCCCAGAGTAAGACCCTGTCTCCCCCCGTCTACAGTCGAGTGCCTCCATAAATGCCTCCTTTGATAAATGTGATTGTGTCGGTGTAATTCCGTGTCAGTTTGGCAACATCATTTCATGTGTCCTGAGTAGAGGGAAAGTGAAGCAGGAAGCACCTAGGGAGGAAAGTCAACTGGAAAGACCTAATAGAAGGGAAGGGAATTATCGGGGGAAAGCACCAAGCCATTACGACTATATAGCACTTGGAAGGGGTCAGAATAAGAATTTGGGATGGGACGGGGGAGGGGGGGGTAAGGAATGGTGCCCAACCACTTGGACGGTCGGGGATTGAAAGCCGACCTGCATGAAGCGAGACCGTCGCTCTACCGTCCAGCCCAGACCTAAGGGAGAGAGCACACCTTATTTTTCTCAGCACACGCAAGGAAGGTTGGAAATGCAGGAACGTCTCCAGAGCCGGTCTGAGGCCGCCTATTACCTCGTGAAGAGGGGGAAGCAGGTGGGCGCCCCGGGTGAGAGGTTGCAGTAACAACACCCGAGAGGAAGCACAAGGAAGACCAGAACCCCCCTTGGGCCACCAGGTTGCCGATTGGCAGCGTTACGGACCCCCTCTAGGTGACGGCACGGGGCACTAGAACCCTGCTTGGTGACTTCAAGGGACATCAGCACTCCAGTTTATAACATCACGGGCACTAGGACCCCGCTTTATGACGTCATGGACACCAAGACCCCGCTTGGTGGCGTCATGATGTTGGTTGACATCACTCTTCTAGCTCAGGGAATTATCACTTGATCTGTAGCCTTCGTACTGACCCTGTACAACTCACTCACGCCTTGTCACAGTTCAGGAAAACAAAAATAGAGGCAACCGTGTGCAAAGTGTGTTGAAGTTGCATCTCAGCTACCAAGAATAACATGTGTTTATAATGAAATCACATTAACGTATTATATCACTGAGAAAGTCAGGAGCTATGAGTGCTGGATCACAGCCAGAGTACATGTGGGGCAATGCGTGAAATACCTAATTCAAGACCCCATAGAGGATTCATTTGAATCCCATGTTGCATTGCTTTTGACCATGTCGTGGTGTAGTGGCCTAGGTCTTGGACTTGGGAGTACCAAGTGTGTGGGGTTCGAATACTCTTCACGGCTCCTATTGATTTTCTCAATGACATATGCACATTTTTCCTGACTGTGTAAGGGTTAAATCTAGATGTCTCTAGACTTGATGCGGTGATGGCATGCTCTCGTTCCCAGACCATATGTGCAATATTTTTGACAGTTCATCGCAATTTATCATTCACAGTTGGGAACGAGTTCTGTTGTAAAATATGGTGACACATTTATGTATTGGTAATGCTCCGTATACATTCAAGGATATCTGTATATAAATATATATATTTTTCTGGTAATCTTGCCCTAATATTCGCATTGCAGAATACGTTAATATTCAGCATAGTATACCAAGACTCTAATGCTTTCATAATGCAAATTTCCCACTAAATTTAGTTCTCTCAGTGTGTGTTTCCGTGTTGAGCGAAGTTAACCACTTCACAAATTGTTTTGAATATTTAGTAAGCCTTTTATGTGGCACATTTATTGATGAGTAACTGGAATTTTTTGCATAACACCAAGGAACAAGGCCTCGAATGCCTTTAGTACTTGAGCATATAGAGTTAAGCTCGTGCTCCGTGCAGTGAGGGGTGGCGGGCGTGCAAAGTGAGGGTGGCGGCCGTGCAGGTAACAGGACTTGAACAAGTGACACTGGCTTCCCCTTCCTGGAAGTCAAGCCTGGGGAGCGTGGCAGGAGCCCGGCCAAGGCTCATGACCTGTGACACTCAGCTCTGTACCAGAACATGAGCAAAAATGGTTGTGATTTTTATATTCCTAGTGAGTAAATCGAATTGAAACTAATATGATCAATATAATTCCTAGAATCACTACAGTGGAATTCGTAGCTCTACAACCGGATATTAAAATAATCTCTTGGAACAATCAAGACATTGCAGTCAACCAGGAGGAGGAGAAGAACAAGTGTTTGAGAGGTTTGTCTTTGAGAAGTAAAGGTTATTTCCGTGTTATCTTGGCAACCGACACACTCCCGCTTATTATTCTTTCCATTTAGCTAAATCATCCTCTCCTTGACCTTCTTCTGAAAAACTCCTTCATCCATGGTTGAGCCTAATCTCATGCCTTATATAATACTCTACATTCTATCCAGTATACCAGCTCCTTTATTTCTCCTATACCAACATTTTTATTTGTTCCTACATTCCTACGACACCAACATTATTTTTTATCATTTCCTCTACCCTCTCCCACTAACATTTTTATCAGCTCTTCCATCCTTCCCACACTAACCTTTGTAACGTCTGCTAATTACAGAAAACTTCCTCTTTCTTTTTATGGCAATATATTCCGGGGGTTTTCCCCCCTAGTATCACGATTGAACGTTTAAATGTCCACTCTGATATGGGACGGAGAGAAGGAATGGTGCCCAACCACTTGGGCTGGACGATTGAGCGACGGTTTTGCTTCATGCAGGTCGGCGTTCAATCCCAGACCATCCACGTGGATGGGCCCCATTCCTCCCCCCCCCCTAGTCCAATCCCAAATCCTTGTCCTGATCCCTTCCAAGGGCCACATAGTCGTAATGGCTTGGCGCTTTTCCCTGATAATTCCTTCCATAGATATGCCCACCTCCACCATACCACATACTCCCCCCCCCACACATTACACCCACCAACACACCCATCAACCTCGCCCCAGGTTCCTCCCTCAGACCCCACCCACAGATCTAAGACCCCCGCCCACAGATCTAAGACCCCCACCCACAGATCTAAGACCCCTACCCACAGGTCTAAGACCCCCACCCACAGGTCTAAGACCCCCACCCACAGGTCTAAGACCCCCACCCACAGGTCTAAGACCCCACCCACAGGTCTAAGACCCCCACCCACAGGTCTAAGACCCCACCCACAGGTTTAAGACCCCATCCACAGGTCTAAGACCCCACCCACATGTCTAAGACCTCACCCACAGGTCTAAGACCCCACCCACAGATCTAAAACCCTACCCACAGATCCTGCACTCCCAAATCCAACGCACATACCCCTCCAACATACACTACCAACCCCTTTACCCCACCCACATACACTACCCACTTTACCTATCCACTCCTCTACCCCACCCACATACACTACCCACTTTACCTATCCACCCGTCTACCCCCACCCACATACACTAACCACTTTACCTATCCACACGCCTACCCCACCCACATGCACTACCCACTTTACCTATCCACCCGTCTACCCCCACCCACGTTTCCTTCCTTCTTTCCTCAGGTTTGCCGTAAGACATCTACAATGATCAGGTTGTCACTTCAAAGATTTACTGAACTCATTATTGAGATTAAGCTGCTGGCACTTGTGGACTTCTCATGAGTCTTTCTAATTCGAAAGAATTAATTTTCTTCGTAATTTATACATATACATATATATATATATAAATATATATATACTGAACATTTTATTTTTGCTATATGGTTCATGTATGTCTACGTGTGTGTGTGTGTGTGTGTGTGTGTGTGTATGTCTACTTATGTATATTTTGTATAAAGTGATTCTTGGTAAAATTATATATATATATATTTAAAAAATGTAAAAAAACATAGAATTTAAGTACCCACTGTGCTTTAATAAGTGTTGCCAACCGATGGTTAATAATTTACTCTACAAAGAACGATGGAAAGGAGGCAATAGTCATGGCGATACTGGAAAGTCTTTTTATATAAATACTGTTCTGGGTTTGGCAACTTTTCTCTCTCTCTCTCTCTCTCTCTCTCTCTCTCTCTCTCTCTCTCTCTCTCTCTCTCTCTCTCTCTCTCTCTCTCTCTCTCTCTCTCTCTCTCTCTCTCTGTCTCTCTTTCTCTCTCTCTCTCTCTCTCTCTCTCTCTCTCTCTCTGTCTCTCTCTCTCTCTCTCTCTCTCTCAGTCCTTACTTTCACGTATTTCTCCTGATGCTTCTATTTTCTCTACTATCCTGCATGTTTATCTTGTGTTTTCATTCAACCTTTCTCTCGCGTTATTCGTATCTAATAAAACTTTGAACCTTTGTATACCATATCACTCATCAACTTTCTCATTCCTTCTTTTGTACACACTCTCCCTGTCTCTCTCTCTCTCATTTGTGGTTCTCCTTCATTCTTCTATGTTCATCCTCTTCCACCTCCGTTCCCAACTCCATCATTTACTAGCATGTTTTGTAAATAAATCACAGCCCTGAGATGTAAACAGGTTATTCTCACACTCGTAAGCAAGGGGGGTGAGTTATTTTGTAAATAGGTCCCGTGTAAATTTGTTTTGAACTTGATCTTATTTTGTATTACTTTTTTTCCTCTCTATTCAGCCATATCAATGTAAATTATACTCTGGAATAATGAGCTTTTCAATAAAATAATTATTAATAAATATATTTTATTTGTGTATCCCCATCTCGAAGATATTAGAGGAAATCCTCAAACGTCTAAGCGGTTAGGCACCATTCCTTTCCTCCGTCCTATCCCAAATCTTTATTCTCATCCATCCCAAGTGCTATATGGTCGTAATGGCTTAGTACTTTCTCCTGATAATTACCCTACCTTTCTTGCTCTAATTTGTGTTGTCTACGGTCATGAAGATAATGAAGGGCTTTACAATGTAAAGTGAAGGTTATACAATATAAATGGACAGTATAATGTGTGCAAATCACGAAAATTAACACGTGATGAAAAATGTAACAGTATAATATAAAAAAAAGTATTTTTGAATGATTTTTTAAAATATTTTTGTGTGTCAAATAAGCAGTGGAATACTGCCTAGATTCCGATATAGATATACTATTGTCCTGCAGCAGGGGTTAGCAGTTATAGTAGTAATAATAGTAGTAGTAGTAGTAGGCATCCAACAGTCTCAGGAGACTATGAGATCAGTCATAACAGTGTACTGAAACACTCATAACCACAACTTCCACAGCAACAACAGTAGGTATTGTCCACAATACATATCATTATAACAGTAGCGGAATTCCTACTTTACTTCAAGGTAATAATAGGTATTATGGCAACACGTGATTCGAAAGTAGCTGCATCGGAGTGTTAAAAAAAAGCGGGGTCCAGGAGCTGCAGCTCACTCCATACAAACACAGTGTCTCCGAGGAGTTTCAGGTACTCTTCATGCTTCTAAATGATCGATTTTCGACATT